GTTTTGTTTCTGTCTTTTCCTCAAACAAACAAGGCTTATAAACTGCAGCATGGAATATTAGTGGGCAAGAAGAATGAAGTCCTATTTGTTTTTTTCCACAGTGAAGACAAAAAATCATGGCTACTTTGAAGGCAATAATAGATACAGAGGTTACTTTTTGAGGAGTTACTAATATATTCCTATCTATAGCTTTGAAAAGCCTTTTTCTAAATCCTGAAGTGTAATTTTACATACAAAATACGGGCATACTTCAGAGATATTGCAAGTCCAGTTGCAGACCACTGTAATAAAGCAAATATTACAATAAAGCAAGGCATGTGAATTGATTTTCAGTGCATATAAACTTATGTGTACACAATATTGTACTCTGTTATAAAATACGCAGAGCATTATGTCTAAGAAATAATGTGCATACCTTAATTTAAAAATTGTAATGCTGGGGCTGGCAGCAATAAAATGGCATGGCGGGTAGGAGTGCTGAACTCCCACATGGCCAACCAAAGTTCGAGTCCCGATTCTGGCAACTTGCTTTCCACTTTCCCTCTCTCTCACCCTGTCCCTTTCTAGTCAAATTAAAATAAATAAGTAAAGTTAAATTTTAAAATATATTTTATTACTAAAAATACTAAGGATTATTTTAGCCTCTTGTGAGTTGTAATCTTTTTGCTGGTGGAGGGTCTTGCCTTGGTATTAAGGGCTGCTGAGTCATCAGAGTTGTGGTTGCTGAAGGTCAAAGTGGCTCTGGCAGTTTCTTAAAATGAGACAACAGTGAAGTTTGTCTCATTGATCAATTCTTCTTTCACAAAAGATTTGTCTTTCATGAGATTCCGTTTCACAGCATTGTAACCACAGTAGAACTTTTTAAAAACTGTTGTCAATCCTCACAAACCCTGTTGCTGCTTTATCAAATAAGTTTATGTAATATTCTAAATCCTTGTCAGTTCACAACATCTCCAGCAAGAATAGATTCCATTTCAAGAAACCACGTTTTTTGCTCATCCCTAAGAAGCAACTAATTTGTTAAGTTCTGTTATGAGATTGCAGCAATTTAAACACATCTTCAGACCTCACTTGTTTTGTTTTATTTTGTTTTTCTATCACATCTGCAGTAACTTCCTTCACTGAAGTCTCACAACTTTGGATATTATCTATAAGAGCAGGAATCAACTTCTTCCAAATTCTGTTAACGTTAATGTTTTGACCTCCCCCTATGAATGATGAATGTTCTTAATGGCATCTAGGATGGTGAATCCTTCCCAGAAGATTTTATTTTTTTGAGAGGCTGTTTGTTTGTTTGTTTGTTTGTTTGTTTTGCTATAGGAAGTGTGCATTTGCTGGGAACCAGCAGTTAGCGTAATGGCTATGTCGCTGGACTCCCACGTAGGCGACCGTGGTTCGTGTCCCGGACCCGGTGGCTTAAAACTCACGCCGGGCGCGTGTGCATGCGTGCCCAAGATCCCGAGAGGAGAATGGAGGAGAAGGGATTGCGGCGTGACCATCCCCCCTGGGGGGTGATTTCTCGCTTTCTGTCTCTATGTCTCTCTCTGTCTGTCTGGTGAGCGCACGTGCCCTACAGTGAAAATCTCTCAAAAAAAAAAAAAAATCAGGAAGTGTGCATTTGCCAGAAAGACGGAGACAGAAAGCAAGAAATCATCCCCCAGGAGGTATGGCCACACTGCAATCCCTTCTCCTCCATTCTCCTCTCAGGATCCTGGGCACGCATGCAAACACATCTAGCATGAGTTTAAGCTATGAGTCTGGGACTCAAACCACAGTTGACTACATGGGAGTCCAGCGTCATGACCATTATGCCAACTGCTGGTCCCCTCCAGAAGATTTGCAATTTACTTTGCTCAGATCCACTGGAGGAATCACTGTCTGTGGCAACTGTAGATTTACAAAATGTATTTCTTAAATAATAAGACTTGAAAGCCAAATGTCTAGCTAAGGTTAGCATAATTTTATAACAGAGCAAGATAAGGCTTAACATATTTAAGTAAATACAAATAATTTTAAAACAGACAAGGATTTAATGTTATTTCATCAGATGGTTATCATAACTACCAGAATCACCTTATGAACTCGTTAAAGTACAGACTGCAAGGTCACATACATAGCAATGCTGCTGTAATGTATCTGGGCCAGGTCCTAAATTTCTTTTTAACGATTATTGTAGGCGATTTTGATGCATAACTAGGATTTTTAGAATCCCCGATCTATCAATAGTGTAACACTTCCAGACAGGAATTACATTTAATTTTCTCTGTATTTCTAGCTACATCAGCAAAGTGCCAGGCACATAGCAGGTGCAAAATAAATGTTCCTAAGAGATAGGGAAGAAAATGCATAAAAAGAGTTTCATGACTTGTGGAAGGTCTCACAGTCAAGAAGTAGTAGAACTAAGTTCCTATTTGGTCCAGAAATGATGGAACAAGGGCTTCTTAATTCTCTTTTCTCCAAAGGCCTTTGAGATAAAGTATAGTAAATGAAATCATACAAAACTTTTGTCTCATAAGAGTATGTTATGGATATATAGGTGTTTGCCAATATGTTGTAGGTAAAATTTCCACCTCATCTTATAAATTTTAGCAATTTTTCTGATCATTATTTTCTTTTCTCAAGAATTTACTTATTGGGAACCAGCAGTTAGTGTAATGGCTATGTTGCTAGACTCCCATGTAGTTGACCGCGGATCGCGTCCCGGACCCGGTGGCTTAAAACTCATGCCAGGTGTGTGTGCGTGCGTGCCCAAGATCCTGAGAGGAGAATGGAGGAGAAGGGATTGCGGTGTGACCATCCCCCTGAGGGGTGATTTCTCGCTCTCTGTCTCTATGTCTCTCTCTGTCTGTCTGGTGAGCGCACATGCCCTATAGCAAAAAACCTCTCCAAAAAAAAAAAGAATTTACTTATTTATTTATTAAGTGAAAAGGCAAGCTGCCAGGTCCAGGACTCGAACCACAGTTGGCCATGTGAGAGTCCAGCGTCCTTAACCACCACACCACCTGCTGGCCCAATCATTATTTTCTTAAGCATCATAAAGGTATTTCTTAACCCTTTCCTGCCTCAATGCATTAATATATGGATCTATTGAATAGTTTAAAAGTGCATTTTATAATCAGTTCCTTGAAGCAAGGAAGCAAAATATCACAGGCATCATTATTGCTTTTACTTCTCTCACCTATCCTCTAGAAAAAGTTTGTGACCATTTCATCAGAATTCAGTTATTGGATGACTCTTACAGTGTCCTTTTGATCTGTTGCACTAAAACTCAGTTACATTTCCAAATTAGTTTTCAATACAAGAGAGAGTACCACAGTGATATTCTCCAAGTAATTGCATGAATATTTTAGAACACGGCTACAAGCTATCCAGAAGGAAGAATCAGAGGGAGAAGGAGAGAGAGAGAAAAAAATGGGGGGAGATTAGTAAGAAATCTTGAGTTGCAAACTCTTTGCCTTAGCTTATCTTATTTCTCACACAAAATCTTCACTGACCTACCACACTGGTGCGATTTATATGGACAGGAGTGGGAGGCAGATGAAAATGTAATTCTAAAGGCCAAATAACAGGGAGCATTAGTCAACTCCATCATCACCAGCACAGGAAGGAGAGTGTGCTGGGCCACATCCCTGAAGCAGAGGTTAGGAATTCACATTGGTGCCATTTATAAGGACATTTAAAATGCTGTGAATCAATTTGCCTAAGTTCAAAACCCGATACCATTTATTTCATGGAATATGTAATTTCTCAGAAAATACCCAAATCATTCATCAGTCCATCTGGGTAAGTCTACATGAAGATCATTGTTACTGTAATAAACGAGTGTGTTGTTAGACATTTAGTAACTTTTTCCATTCTCATTATTGGTATGAATGGCACTGACGAGCTCTTTTAACCAGGTGACAGTGCCATGGTCATCTTGTATTAAAGGGCTGTTGATTGTTAGTAGGCAAAGCAGACTTTAATAAAACAAACATTTCTGCAGAAACCAGTGTGAGACTATCCAACCTGAAATTATTTAATTGAGAATTGGGAAGGGAGTTAAGAGTTACATGCTTAATACATAACCTCACTTTCCTGCAGTAGCTTTTTCTTTTCTTTTTTTTCTTTTTCTTTTACATTATTTCTTTTGTTGCCAAATGTAAATCATTTCTTCCTTTGAACGTCATAGGTAAGAATCAGTCTAAGGCAGTTAGGAAAAATAGAGTGATTTCAATGCAACTGGCTTGAGCCAAAGCTGAAAGCCTGCAGTAGGATGGAAACTGAGGCAATGTTACAGGAATGAAAGTAAGGGGACAATTAATGGAAGAAAGCCTAGTTTACTTATCAATGAGTAAGCAGTTCTGCATTGCCCTCACTAAGGAGAATTTCTCCATTAGATAGTCCAACTCAGGTCATACCTTGCTTTCCACGGCTCATTATAGAAAGATGTTCTGCTATGAAAAGTGAGCATTGTCATGTATGTTCTCTGATTGTCCAGGTGTACTTCAAATGAATAAATCCTTTTTAACTCATTAACAAGCTTCTGAAAATTGATCATTTATTATTATACTTTTTAAGTTTTGCCTAAGTCTACTGCATTAGAATCAGTAGATGCTCAATGTATCATATGTAGAATGAAAGATTATGAAACTAAAAAGTTCTAAAAAAGTTTTTCCTTTACACTATCACCCCTGGGGCCCTGATTGCATTATAGCCATTCTCTTGGTACAACTATAAAACTTACTGCCTTTTTGTGTCTACTTGTTCATTTCCATTTTTTAATCTACGATCTTCTTGAGAGTAGGGGCTATGTCTTGGTCATCATTGTGTCTTCCATACTAGCATGTAATCTGATCGTTGTCTTTGCTTGATTTAACAAAATTGAATTAACTTTTGTCTTCATTGACTTAGGAGACCTGAATTTATTATCAGAATACCGCAGCAATCATTTATCATGTTTTTTGCCATATCATTGGAATTAATGTTTTTAAATGCTGTTTCCTTTTGTTTTACTCTAGAACTGAACAATGCCACAAAAACCTTCTTTACTAAAGAATATTTGAAAATTAAACAAAGCTTTCAAAAATCCAGCTCTGCAAAATGGCCCCTACCAAGCTGCAAAAAAGCATTCCATCTTTTTGGAGGTAAGGAAACTAATAACAAACAAAAAAAATCAAAGCCTAGTAACTTTGTCCAAGGTCTTCTCTTAAAGCTAATATTTTCTTGTATTAGAAGTATTAGGTGAAACAGGGACCAGCAGTTAGCGTAATGGCTACGTCACTGGACTCCCCTGTAGTCAACCGCGATTCAAGTCCCTGACCCGGTGGCTTAAACTCACGCTGGGCATGTGTGTGTGCATGCCCAAGATCCTGAGAGGAGAATGGAGGAGAAGGGATTGCGGCATGGCCATCCCCCCTGGGGGGTGATTTCTCGCTTTCTGTCTCTCTGTCTCTGTCTTTCTGGCCAGTACATGTGCCCTATAGCAAAAACTGCTCAAAAAAAAAGAGAAGTATTAGGTGAAACATAGTTGTATAATGATCTATTTAAATTAAGGATTTTGCCATCTCTTTGCTTAAAGCTACAGGGATAAATACATATGAAGTAGATCAATAAACTCATTTAATATCAATATTTCACAGTTGTCCTCCAAACTTAGGACAAATAGAAAGTGAAGTCTTGGTATAAAAAACGTCCCAGAAATATACAGTGGTCAGGGAATAACAGTTTCTAGATTCAGGTCTAAATGTATGACTTACATGTGTCATAGAATCCTCTTATTTCTGTTTTCTTTAAAATAGGAATAATTATATCTGTCCTTTCTAATTAATACAGTTATTGTAAACATAAAATGAGTTAATATGGAAACACATTGTAATTATAACTAATTGTACTCTATAGATATAAGAAATAATCAAAAGATAATATCTAATACCCTTTTCAGCTTTGAGAATTTATTACTGTATGATCATATGATAAGGACATAAAGTTATATTTTATCTTTTATAAAACCATGCCTTTTCGGAGAATGAATTATTGTGTAGTTTCAGTATTTGCCATTTATGATGTTATGGGGCCTGAGAAGAAAAGTCCAGATATGGGCAACTGGGGTCTTCCGGGAACAGGAGGCACTGCTGTATGAGACCAGAAAGAGCAGTACAGCCGTGCCTAGACAGGAAGGAGTGAGGAGCAGGAACTATATGCTGGAGGCAAAAAATAAGTGATCAATAATACAGAAAATTTCTTAGGTTTGAAGGAAGTAGTATAAGGATGAGTATAATTTTATACCATGGTTTGAATGAAGACAAAACATTTGAGAGCATTACACAAATAACATACTACTGTATGAGGTGATTAGTACCTGTAACTATATGTTACCTAGAGATTTATATAGACAGTTGTGCTTGTACCTCATTTAGCCCAAAACAGAATATAAAATCAAATATATGAAAATCAATCTTACCTAAAGAATTTCATATCAAAAGAGAAAAGTAATATGTTGAATTATATTCTTTAAAACATCCCTTAGTACTCTACCATTTTGCCTACCCCTATATTTTTACAGAAATGAAGTGCCTTTTCTTTATAATAACCCCATGCTTTCTTTTTTCTTTTTGTGTTTTGAGGTAGTAGTGAATCTATAATTTGTGATTTTTGTCTTATTTCTTCTCCCCGTAGGAATTCCAGAGAACTTAATTTTTTAAATATATTTTTATGGATGAGGTTCACAATAACTTATTACATCACCCAATTTAAGAAATGTATTAGGTTGTTGGAAAAGTCATGATGCATTTTTTTTTTCATTTTACATTTATTCACCAAACATTATCACAGCATACAAAATATGATTTCCCATCCAGAATACACTGCATAGTGACATAATCATACATGTTATTGTCAACAAATAATTTTTCATTTCTTGTTTCACATATATACACACACACACACACACAAACACACACATATACATATACATATATGTATATATTTTTCCCTATTTCTCACCTTTTGCCTTTTCTTACCCTCCTCCCACATTGTCTCTTGTATTTACAGTTGTTTTCTATTCCTTTTTCTCCCACATTTCGTTGCTTCCCAAAATATATTAATCTAAATAATTTCAACTGAATGTTTGGCTGATGTGTACACATCTGTGAGCACATGTCTGATTTTTAAGCATGAAGCTCCATGAGCATAATGAACATACTATAAAGTAGCACCTAGCTGAGGCTATATAGCTTAATGTGATTTTTAAATAAGTATTATTATTATTATTTTATTTTGTGGTCTGATCTTTCCATTTAAATTTTGGAAGGTGATTTTCAACTCTGGACTTGTCCCTACCATTAAGTTGACCATTTTCTTGGTTGTTTTTGAACTCTTATTTCTGTGTATCTGTATTTAGTTTTCCTGGTATAGTACTCCATTCATAACTTCTTGGAGAACTGGTCTGGTCTTGGTAAATTCTTTTAGCTTTTGTTTATCTGAGAATATTCTTGTCTTTTCTTCACATATGAAGGACAGTCTTGCTGGATATAGTATTCTTGGCTAAAATTGTTTTTCACTCAACACTTTGAATATATTTTCCCAATCTTTTCTTGCTCACATTGTTTCCAATGAGAGGTCCGCTGTTAGCCTGATGGGATATCCTTTGTAAGTAACTTGATGTTTCTCTCTTGCCAATTTTAGTATCTTGTCTTTTTCTGTGGTTTTGGTCAATGTGGCTATAATGTCTTGGATAAGTTCTTGGGTTGATTCTATTTGGGGTCCTTTGTATTTCTTGGGACTGGATCTTTGAATGCCTCCCTAGATTTGGAAAGTTTTCTTCCAGGATTTCATGGAATAGATCATCGATGCCCTTATTAGTCTCTTTACCTTCTGGGATACTGATTATCCAGATGTTTGGATGTTTAATGGTATCTAGTATTTCTTGTATATTATTCTCATTTTGGGGAGCTACTTTTTCAGTTTTTGTGGTGGATTTTTCTAGACCAATGATTCTGTCTTCCACTTTGGAAATTCAGTCTTCTGTATGATCTAGTCTGCTTTTAATACTTTCAAAGGAGGTTTTGATTTCCTATATTATAGCCTTCATCTCTAACAGTTCCATTTGATTCTTTTTTTATGATGTGTATTTCCTCTTTCATATTGTACAAGAACTTTCTTACCTCCTGGAACTTCTCAGCTCTTTTCTCCTGCCTCTTCTGTAATTCATTGTCTTTTTTCCCTTGTATTTCTGTTAGCTTTGTCACTATGGATACTCTAAATTTTTTGACATTGTACTGTCTGTGGATGAAGAAGAGTTACTTTTTTCCCTTGGAGGATAAATATTTTATTGGTCTTGTGCCCCTGCAGTGACTTATGGTCATCTGATGGGTTATATGTTTCTTCCTAATTTCTTGAAGTTCAATCTGAGCATTCAGAGATGTGCAGGGGGGTTGATCTGCAGTCTCACTGCCATTCCATTTTTCTCCCTTTGTGTGTCAAATTCAGTGGGAATTGAATAATATTCTGACCCTAATAGTATTCACAGGTTTGGCTAAGGATCACTTAACCCTGTCTAGACACTCAGTGCATGGAGGCTGAGCAGCAAAGTGATGAAGGTAAAGGAAAAAAAAAAAAGGAAAAGAAAACAGAGAAAGAGAAACAAAATTTTAAAAAGAAACCACAATATTTTTTTCTTTTTTCTTTTTTTTCTTCTTCTTCTTCTTTTTTTTTTTTTTTTTTGAGAGATTTTCGCAATAGGGCGCGTGCATTCGCCAGACAGACAGAGAGAGACATAGAGACAGAAAGCGAGAAATCACCCCTCAGGGGGGATGGTCACGCCGCAATCCCTTCTCCTCCATTCTCCTCTTGGGATCTTGGGCATGCACGCACACGCGCCCGATGTGAGCTTTAAGCCACCGGATCCGGGACACGAACCACGGTCGACTATGTGGGAGTCCAGCGACATAGTCATTACGCTAACTGCTAGTTCCGATATTTTTTTTTCTTTTAAAAAAAAGCAAAAAGTGAAAACTGTGTGGCACTGAAAGTAGTTTTTCATAGCTCAAATTCATTAAGCATCTTTGAAGATCTGAGATTCTATCTCTCCTAAATAGGAGGGGGGAAAAGACAAGAATTAGCAACATAAAGGAGGAGCTGAGAGCCAAGAAAGTACTTTACCTTAAAAAAATAAAAAATAAGAAAAGTTTTAAAAAAATTTTAAGAGAGAGAGAAACAGAAGGATACAGAAGCCCTACAACTTTCGAGATTGGGATCTGGAGAGTGACGTCTCAGCAGAAAATCTTCAGTAGTCAGTCTTATTCCTGAAAGTAATTTTTCACAGCTCAAGTTCAGTATCTCCCATGACACACTTTTGTAACAGATAGCGCTAGTTCATTTTTGGAAGTACTGGAGTCATTTGCATCTATGTTATTGCTATGTCATCTGACAGCTGACAATTCTAGTTTCATTCTAAAAGAAAAATTAAGCAATTTGATTGAGTTTTAGAGATTTTACAAGTTGAAGATAGAAAACCAAACTGCATTTTTGCCATATTTTACTTTAACTTCCATAAAGGGAAGAATACGTGTCAAGCTTGTGAAAAGTTGCATAAAGTTTACAGTAACAATGCTGTACAAGAACATCAGTGCCAATGATAGTTCACGATATTCTGTGCTGGTAGTTTTTATCTCACTGATGCACCTTGGTCAGGGAAGCCCACCGAGGCTGATGACAACAAAATAAAGACATTGATCAAGTTAAACCCATGTTACACAACATGAGAGATTGCAGAAACATTGAACACCATGATTCAAGCATTCATGATCATCTGAAGAAGCTGAAATATGTAAGCAAGCTCTATATCAGGGTTCCTCATGAACTCAAAGGAGTTCATTTGACGGCATGTATAAAATCTGCAATATACTCATTAAACATGAGGAAAACAATCCTTTTTTGTGGCAACTCATAACTGGGGCTGAAAAATGTTACACAAATGGTCTTGGTCTTGACATGACAATTTACTTCAAATGACATCAAAAGCTGATATTCATCAGAGGAAGGTTATGCTCACAGTTTGGTGGGATTTTAAAGGTGTCATGTTTTTTTTGAGCTCCTACCAAAAAAACAATCATTTTAATGTGTGCTGTCAACAATTAGAGAGTTT